TTGGAGTTTAGATATATGACACCCCCAAGAGATAAGGAGAAGGAAGATCTTAGAAACCACATGAAATGCTCTGGTTTGGAGGGAAAAGGGAGTTGTGTTCACCCAAATTTCTCTTCTTTTTAGCTTAACCGTTTTACAACTCTGCAAAACTTTATCACATGGTTTTCCTCAATTTTCCCCATATTCCTATAATCCTCACAATCATTGTGAATGGATTCCTGGAATCCTCACAATCGTTACAAATAGTTATGAGACTTCACAAGCCTCATGAAGGTTAGCTTGTTTATTTATCAAATTTTCTGAGACTCCAGAACTCTGTGATTATTCATATAAATCCAAACTGTTCAAGGATTTATTCTAGGAACCCTGGTGGCATATTGGTTATGGGTTGTACTGCTAACGGCTAGGTCAACAGTTTGAACCGACCAGATGCTCAGTGGGAAAAAGACGGATTTTCTATTCCTGTAAAGAGTTACATTCTGGGAAATCCACAGGGGCAGTTCTATGCTGTTCCATAGGGTCACGATGCGATGCGTTGGCAGCCACTTTATCGCAGTGAGTGATTTCAAATATTGAAAATGGGTTTAAGGATGACTTTCCCTAGGTCTCCAGTCAGATGTACTGAAATTATACCTTCCCCCACATGGGAAGATGTAGGGTTCTGTTCTCTCAGTCAAAATCCCACAGTCTAAAGCTAAAGTACCCAATTCTCTATTTACTTTCATGATTGAAAAATGCATAACCTTATACTGAAAAACGAGTTCGACCATAAGAATACTTGTGAGCATGCTGCAGAACTGTGCAGAGATTCCTTCTGCTGGGCAGATGGTCACAGTGAGTCAGACCAGACTCGATGGCACCAGACATCAACACATCCAATCGACCTCACTGGTGAAGATGTTATAAATGCAAGCTCATAGCTTATAGTCATGAGACATAAGATTTCTCTGCCTCCCAAGCTCCCTCTACTCTAAACCTTTGCAGAGAGTCTTGGTTTCTGAGACTCCTAGATTCTTCAAGGAGCACAAATTGTGTCTCAATTACCGATGCACAAGTAAGATTTAAGAACCTACAGCTAATGGGTTCTACACTGTTGTTGCAGTAGGCTACGCTTCTTTACTACAGACAATAAGTTTAATAATCGTTGTTGTCATGTAGAACACAAAGTTAAACACAGGTGATAGACACCCACTGATTCAGTGTAAGAGACTCACCAGCAGCTCCCAGGAGAGTGAGGAAGATTAAGGCTTTCATGGTTGCTCAGTGGATCAGGGCTGGGGATTAGGATGAAGGAGGCTCCTCTACTGCTATTTATACCTCCAGATGGCCACTAGCCCTCACGGTCATGGGTGCCAGAAACATGCTTTCACTGGAAACTCACAGATCCAAATTTAGAATCCAGCCTGTTCCAGGTGGAGAGTTGTTCAGTATCAACCCCTGTAATGATCACCCCCTGTGCACTTACCTGGAAGGTCATGAGAATGGAAGCAATGGGTCCACCTGGTGGGAATTGTTGCTCACAAGAGGAAAGGGGTGTGGTTGTCTTGGCTATGAAATTTGATCGGAAGCATTATCTAGAACCCTGTAGTCTTGGTGTTTAACCAATATTTTAAAACGTTATATTATGGTAAACTCAAGCCTCATGTAGCCATGTGACCTCTCATTATCAATAGGAACAAATTGTTTTCCTGAGCAAAGAGAAAAAGAACAAATGTTTTCTGACCTTGATCAGCACCAGGCTGATTCAGAGACGGTGCATGGAACTCAGGGTGAGGAATGAGCAGCGAGTGGTCCTGTCTCTACTCTTTCTTTGCCAGACTCCTGGGGTGATAGACTGTCAGATTTTCTTGCTTTGGGAAAAAAGGGTAGTATTAGGGTGGGGGTAGTATCAGAATTACTACAACTATAGTGACCTTCTCCAGTGATCTGCCTGTAAATCTTATATATGAGAAACTGCCCGATTAAGTAATAAAAACTCTAATATATAGGATTCTGTATGAGAGGCAATTCATATTTTAAGAAAGATACTAACACGCTATTAAATTGCA